AGCAAAATCTTGTCCGGGAAGCTGAAAATATGCTTTTGAGCATGAAAAGCAGAGGATTCATAGCTGACCAGGTCCTGCTCACGGCGTTAATTCACATGTACAGCAAGGCTGGGAACCATAGACAGGCAGAAGAAACCTTCCAAGAATTGACTCTTCTCGGACACCCATTGGACAGAAGATCGTACGGGTCAATGATCATGGCTTACATCAGAGCTGGAAAACTTGATGAAGCAGAGGGATTACTCTCTGCAATGGAGGAACAAGACATTTATGCAGGGCCAGAAGTTTATAAATCACTGTTGAGAGCCTACTCCATGGCTGGGGACAGTAAAGGAGCTCAGAGTGTTTTTGACGCGCTTCAATTCGCCGGCATCCTCCCTGACGCAAAGATCTGTGGGTTAGTTGTGAATGCCTATCTCGTGGCGGGTCAAATCTCCGAGGCTTATATTGCTTTTCAAAACATGAGAATGGCTGGGATCGAACCGAACGACAAATGTGTGGCTTTGATTTTGGCTGGGTTTGAGAAGGAGAATGACCTGAACAAGGCACTGGGCTTGGTGATTGATTTGGAGAAGGGAGGCGTTATGCTCGGGGAAGAAGCTTCTTCCATATTGGCGCGGTGGTTCGGGAGGCTCGGGGTGATGCAAGAAGTGAATCTTGTGTTGAAGGAATATATGGGTCACAGCTAGAGGGCTCTGTCTTCCTTTGCTTCTGCTTGATAAAATGGGTCTGAGCTAGTCTAATGTGATTAACTAGAACAACACTTTGATCGTTAATAACTTCATTTATAACTTCATTTGTACTTAAATAATAGGGAGTATTTTTGGTCTTTAATGTAATATCCCAAAGTTGCAAACCAATTAGCTCAAAATTGACTCTGCCGTTTTTTATTGGCTCAAAATACCTTTTTTTATGGAGATTGGAGAGTTCTTCATCGCCCTTCAAATTGTTAAATCAACTACGTAAATAAAATTTATATTGAATATTAGTATAAACATAATTTAATTAGAATTATCTACAAGAAAATTTTGTTACTTGAAAAAAAACAAATTTAACGAATACTCTAGTACGGAAGAGTATGCAACACTCGTATATCCTCAAAATATATTAAACCAAACCAAACAAAATTGTTCAAGCTTTAACAAACACACAGCATTCTGATAAACAAGCTATCAACATATACACTATGAATCAAAAAGCAAAGACATAAAAAAACAAAAAACAAAAACAGCCTAATGAGAGACGAGCTCAATAAATAAAAATTTACATATGAAAGTGTCTCTCTCTCTTTCTCTGCCTCACCTTGTCCTAGGTGGCTCCACCTTCGGCGCCCGACGATCCGAAGGGCGTAGATAATCAGGTCTAGAGAGTTTGGATGATCCCTTAGGAGCTTGAAGCTCCTCGAGCGCGGCTAAGACCTCAGACATGCTAGGCCTTAGCTTAGGCTCAAGGCATAAGCAATGCATTGCAAGGGTGGCGGCCGTGTAGGCCCCTCTCAAAGGGTATTGCCCTTCGAGTTTCGTGTCCATCATACGAAACACCTTCCTCTTGTCCCCTAGATACGGCTGGGCCCACTCCACGAGGTCCTGCTCCACCCCAACCTTCGTTTTGTCTACCGCGCTACGCCCTGACAACAGTTCAAGCAAAACCACTCCGAAGCTGTACACATCGCTCTTTGCACTCAACCTACCTATTGATTAGAACAACAATAGATGTAGTAAAATTCCAAGAAAGTAGAGTTTGGAGAGGGTGTGTGCACAGACCTTATCCATACTTGGCAATAAAGAAGCATGGCATTGATAATGGCAAAGAAAAGCGAAAAAAATTACCTGTTGCGACATACTCCGGAGCAGCATATCCATGCGTACCCACTACTCGAGTCGACACATGAGTGCGATCGCCAGTGGGACCCGCCTTTGCCAAACCAAAATCAGATAACTTTGCATTGAATTCCTGCATTTCAAGGAACGAATGAGCCAGCATTCATATTATTACAACAACAATCTAGTACGGCCCCACATCTAGGCTATGAGAAAGTCAGATGTACATAAACCTTACCCCTACCTATAAAGACCGGGAAGGGATATTACATTTCAACAAATAACTTAGGAGCTCAACTTTTGAAAGCTTACCGCATCTAAAAGTATATTTGAAGCTTTAAAATCGCGATATATGACTTGCTCTTTAGCGTCATGTAGGAAAGCGAGGCCTCGGGCAGCACCAATTGCAACTTTGATTCTTGTAGCCCAATCCAATGGCTGTGATCCCCCTATAAACCATTGAAAATGAGCCAGCACAAAAAAAAATCAAGAGAGTTGAAAGAATGTTTATGTATAAATTGTTAACAGCATAAATAACATACTTCTAAACAGATGGTTCTCCAAGCTGCCTTTGGGCAAGAACTCGTACACCAAAAGTCGGTTGTCGCCTTTGTAGCAGTAACCAATAAGTTTAACTAGGTTTGGATGATGAAGTTGCCCAAGATAATTTACTTCAGTCTGCAATGCACTTGCTAGTAAGGTCAAAAATGGAAGAGAGAAAAAAAGAGGGAAAAAAATTGTCAACCCACTCATACCAGCCACTCCTTGTGACCTTGAAAGCCTTCGGGCTTCAACCTCTTGACAGCAACGACCATCCCAAATCCGGGCTTCCCTGCAGCAAGGGTATTTTCGTCTATCCATCCCTTAAATACGTACCCGAAACCTCCCTCCCCGAGAAGACTGTCGGGTCTGAAGTTCCTCGTTGCATTCTTCAGTTCATTGAACTGGAAAGGTTTGACATTGGGTGAGAACAATATCTCGTTTTCGGAGTGTGGGGTCAGTGTGGTTCTCCCATTTGATGGAATACTTATGGAGGAAGGAAGAGATGAGGAGTTTCTTGTTTTCTTAGTAGAGACTCCCCATGCTTCGGAAGCTAGTATAGAAACAGGAAAGAAAAAACAGAAATGATATATCAATGGCATACCAAAACATCAATATTTGTTATATAGAAGACATATTATTACCCACACATCAATGCCCAAAGGGAATGTTTGGTACAAAACACTTTGATCAACACTATGCTGGTTTTCAACGTTTCGACCCAAAATAACATTTTGCTGCTTAACTTTAAAAAATTTGATCTGACGCCTAACTGGAGCTCGTGGGTGGCCTAAATTTGACATTAATTTTAAAGCACAAGTATTCTTAAAAATAAAATACGACATACAATGTAAATTTTGGACCGGACCAATTTTATTTTTTCATAAATTTTGGACCAAACCAATTTAATTTTTTTCATATTATGGGTTGCTAAATTCATCAAAAGAGTTGCTTCCAGGGAAGCAACCGTTTCTTAGCTAAGAACTCTCCCTAAGCAACCCCAATAAATTGCTCTAAAATCCTCAGAAACGTGAAAATTTGTTTTTTTTTTAAAAATAAAAATGCTAATCTCAACACAGCAAGCATTTCTTTCAAATGAATGAATGAATAAATTCAGAGAGAGAGAGAGATAGAGATACCAGAAGGGGTTTGAGAGCGGAAAGTGGCATCAACTTTGGCAGAAGTGTGAACACAACAATTACCCATCAAGAGAATTACTAATAATAATGAATTAATGATAATAATATTAATAATAATATTAAAAATAATAGTAATGATAAAAATAGCACAACAGCCCAGAAAAGAATCCTTCTGCAAAACAGAGGAAAGAGAATGAATTTAGAGCAGAAATGGGGAGGAAAGAGAGCCGAGAAAGGTACAGTGAAATTTGAAAAAGAAAGAAAACATTTTTAAAAAAAAAATAAAGAAAAGAAAAGAAAAAAAGAAATTAAAGAAAAGAAAGAAAACACGTTTGCTTGCTTGCGCTGGTCAATGCTTTCACGGTTACGACTTTTACTGATTGCTTCGTCTTTTTCTTTGGTGAATGGCCCCACCCCACCCCCCCCCCACCCCCCTTGGAAATGACTGACAAACCGGTGCCTATGTAGGGGTGTAAACGAACCGAATCGAAGCGAATACCGATATATTTGAATTTGTATTTGTTTAATTTTTTCGAATACGAATCCGAATCCGAATATGAGACGAATTCAAAATAAGATTTGAATAAGTATTTGATTAATATTCGAATAGTTATCGAATCATAAACGAATATTTGAATAATCATACTATGTAATTTATACGATGGACCAACATCAATTTGTAATTTAACTTACGATACTCTTTATACTATACTATATTCCGTATATAAAAACATTAATACATCTGCATCTTACACAAATTATATTTTATAAAATATAACTATTAAAAATCATATGCTTTAGATTTTCGTGTTACGTTAATTTATTGAATTCTTAGTATTTTAAATACACTTTATACTATATTACTTTACTTGACTTTTGATGTTGAAAACATGGTCTGTGTATATATACATATATTCGAATATTCGAATATCATCCGAATCGAATATATCCCTATTTGTATTTGTATTTGATTAATATTCGAATCAAAAATAATATTTGAATTTGAATTTGTATTTGAATAGCGCGAATTCGAATCATCATATTCGAATATAAATCGCGAATCGAATTTAAAATATTTGATTTGTTTACATCCCTATGCCTATGTATTGAGTGTGAGGGAAGAGTTGTCATTATGAAAAATGCTAGGGGTACACCAAAGGTGTACTCCATTTGTCCCTCACTTCTATTACCACAAAAAATGAGCAAGAAATTAAAAAATATTAAATAAATAAAAATGAAATAAAAATGGGTAGTGGAGAATGGCGTGGGAGAAAAAATGGGGTACACCTTTGGTAAAAAATGGAGAATTGCTCTATCATTATTTATCAAAGGGTTCTTCCTTCACCCACCCCTGTTTTGGATTCATTTTTTATGGCCCCTTTGGACTTTGGGGACCAAAAAAGGTACCTAGTATGAACAGGGCCGTCCGGGCCGGGCCCAAAAAATTAAGGGGCCCAATTATTTTTAAATATCATATATATATGTATAAGAAGCCCAGGCCCAATCCATCTTCTACTCTTATACCCCTTAGTTACGGGAGAGTGAGAGACGCACGAAAGAACCGGAAGGCAGGGACGACGGGAGTACGGAGCTGACGGAACTCAGATACGCCGCCGCGGCCAGACGCACCGCCGGACGCCGACCCTCAAGCTCCAGCCTCCAGGTATTCCGTATTTCCATAATTATTTCTTAATTTTTTTCATTGTTTTATTCTTTAGATTTAAAATCTAGGGTTAATTATTAATTTTTAATTTGAAATTCTTGTTAATTTCTATGAAATAGAGTGAGTTAATGGTTCTATATGTTATTTATTTGATTTGGATGAATTGATTTAAATTTATTATATATTTGTATATAAAAAACTGAAAATTAAAAAAAAATAAAAACTGAAAAATTGACGATTTGATATGAATATTGGAAGGCCAATGACCCATTCATGATGATATAACAGGGATCAAGGTTTACTAAATGAATTAAGATTGCATATAAAATGTTCTGCAATTTCAATGAGTTAAGATGCTTTCACTCGCGTAGTTGCAATGTTTCGTCACAGAGGGTTTCTTAGTGATACCCAAATGTGTTATACTAGTCATTAAATCATGTACATAAATGGATGAAGCGCAAAAATATCTTTAGAAATAATATATATTTCATTCGAATCCTCGGCTAGCTTTTACGGTATGTAATTATAATACTATAATTTTGTCATTTATTTTTTTCTTCTAATAATATTGCGTTAATTATAATTTAAATATAATTAGTTAACATATGTTAATTTGTTAGACCATTAAGGATAAAACTTTTAGGGCTTTTTTCTGTTTCGGCCCATGCCGATGAATCCTCAGGACCGGCCCTGGATATGAATCTTTATATCTTTCCCTATCCAATCTTTATTTTAAATATGTTTGGTGATATTTACTAAAAGATTTTGATTTTGATATTTCCAATATCAAAAACCCTGAAAATAAAGGTTTTGATATTTTCCAAATTTGAAGGCCGGACCCATTGAGATCAAGCCTTTCGATTGAAGGCGCAAGCAACATCATATTACAAACTAGGGTGGCTACAACTAACATACAGACAATAGGATGGCTACAACCATACTGACAAGCGTATCCGGGTGTCCAATCTTGGGCCCGTTGGTTAGACAAGGCATAAAGACTCCCACACCGTAGTGGGCCCATAGAGCATAGCTGGCGGTAAAGGCCGAGTGCGCATGCTCAGTTGTTGGAGGCAAGCCGTGGAGGGTCCGACCCGGTCCATTCCGGGTCCGAGTAGATGTATCCGAGCTTAGCAAAGATACACATCCAAGTACGGTTGTCACCTTGAGGCCTTGGTTTCCTTTCAAGTCTTGCTTAGCCGAGCGAGGTCCCTTTTCCGAGCGCGTCCGGATCATTCGATTAGATGGGCCTTGTTGGGCCGCTTATTCTATTTGGCTGGATATCCCCGGTCTAGGGTATCCATCATGAGTCCCCAACTTCCTAGACCAAGTGTGTCGAGGCTGTATGGAAGTACAAAATTTTCTGAAGTTGAAGTTTTAAAAATTCTTGGCTAATTATAGGAGTCCCCCACTGCTTGACTTGAGCATGTACGAGGTCCTAGTCCCCCCCCCCCACTGCTTAACTTGAATTTCAAATCATGATGATTGTTTTCGGGACGTGTACCGTTCTTTCCCTCTAACTGTTGTTCCTCGATAAATGTTTGTGGCATTTTGTATTAAAATGGTCCAGATTTCGCCATGTCATCCCACTAGATGCGATCCAGACTCCAAGTCGGGTCTGATCCTTCACTATATAAGTCAAATTTCCCCATTTTTTCGTTATTCACCATTTCCTTGTGATTGCTCTGATTGTTTACCATTGCCCGAGTCCATTCAGCTTCATCGTCTCCGATAAAGAAAGGTCAGTTCTTCGTTCTTTTTTTTCTGTCTATGTCTTCCCAAGAATCCCCGTCTGACGCTCCTATCCGTGATTCAGCGGCGGAGAGTTTTGCGGAGATCTATATGGTGGACCCGCTTCTCCGACCCGATGGGTTAGGGTTTGCGGCGGGCTGGTCGTCAATCATGAGCGCGATGCCTCTCCACACAGGGGTCACCGTGGCTTCATCTTCGAGGGTCCCCTCTCGCAAAACCAAGCCTTCCCGTCGTTCTAAAACCGAAGGCCAAACATGGTCATAAACCTAAACCTTTACCTGTTAAGATATTGGAGACTGGCCCGATCACCAATATGGCCTACCGACTCCAAGATGTTGATTTCAACGAAGCCCTAAGGTTAGTGGGGGAGGGTTATCTAGTTTGCTGACCGCATCCTACAAACCACGTGTTTTCCGTGACTTGCCCCGATGCCGAGGTCGGGGTCCATGTGGCGTCTATGCGGTATAAACATCTATCACTTAATCAAACATGGACTTAATCATATACAAACTAGTTTTGTTTTATTTTTTTATTAAAAAAATAGATGTTTATTTAAGTGATAGACGCCACTTGGACTCTGTAAATAGCTTTCAAAATTTTAAGAAACACAAGATTTCACTAATGAGGATAGGTGTAGACATGGAGAAGAGAATGACTGGAATTAAACCAATCATATACGGAGTATTTAGAAAAATTTCATTGTGTTCGTAGATGTCAGTGAGTTGCTCATTCCATCTATTTGCTCATAGGGGTTAGAATTCCATTTTTTCCCCAAATTTTCAGATAAAGGTCAAACTAGTCCTTTCAATTGATTAAATTTAAATTCTTTAAAAAAATAATTAAAATTTAGGTATATTACCTGATAACCCTAGACCTTTATTCCTTCTCACCATCTTCATTCAGCTGGAGGGAGGCCCAAGCTCTTCCGAATTCCTCCCTGCTGTGCGACTCTTTGTGCGTTTTCTCTCTAGCTTTTTTTGCTTATTATCTCAGCCTTTTTTTGTTTTCCGTTTGGTATTATGTGTGCATGGATTTCCTGGCTCTGCTTTTGATTTTACAACTTGCTTCTGGGTTTTTTTAAATAATTAATCTGCTATTTTTTTTACCCAAAAATAAATAATCTGCTGTTTTTTCCTTCACTCTTAGGTTCATGGACTTTTCCTTGGCTATGCTTTTGATTTTACCCATTGCTTATTTTCTTTCTGTGAGCTCTATGCTTTCTGTGTTGCTTGAGATGGGAGTCTCTTGGAAACAGCTTCTCTACTTTCGAGTAGGGGTAAGGTCTGCATACGCACACCCTCCTCAGACCTTACTTTTGCGTGATTATACTAGGTTGTTGTCTTCGTTGCTTTTGAGTGTTTGAACATTGGACTATGTTTGCTAGTCTGGCCATTAGTTAGGGTAGTATATTGATTTCAGTTTTTCTCAGGTTGAATCTTTTAATGCTAATTGTTGGAAGATAGTTTAAGGTGATAGAATGAAGAAGGAACCAGAAATAAGGATTGCAAAGTCAAGCAAAATTAAATTAGACAATGGAGACAGTGATGATCAAGATCGAGAATTATCCTCAGAATATGTAAGAATGTGGTCTCTGTTTACAAAGTTCTCCTGTTTATGCATATGTAAGTTGTAATGTTGATTCAAGACTCATGAGAGTTTGAATTAATGAGCAGGAAGAACTAGAAAAAGAGATTGAGAGAGAGCTTGCAGAAGTTACATTTGAGGAACTACAGAAGGCCCGCTCAGATGGATCAGAGGTCCTGTATATGAGACCCCCAACGGAGGAAAAGAGTGGCCGGCGTAACAAAAACAGGTTGCCTAAACACACATGCAAAGTTCTTTGTGTTGGGTTTGGCATATTTGGTTGTCTCATTGATTTGTTAGTTTTAAAATTTGTCAAGGCCAATGGAGATGAGTAGCAAGAAGCCAGTTGGTCGGTTTAGAGAAGTTGTTCAAGTGTCTAAAAAGGTTGGGCTTTTTTGTGTCCATTTTATGTGGGTATTAATTGGAGGTCACGTATGATCCTTATGGTTGGTTGGTCAACATGTTCAGATTGCAAGAATTATTTACCAATATCATATTGGCACAACATATACCTTTTTCACTTTTTTTAATATGAGTTCTGTTGGGGTATTGCTGTGTCAGACAACTTGAGATGGGGTGCTCCAGCAAATATGCTGAAGCCTTTTAAATGTGTGTATAGTTGTATACATTTAAAATAGTCTCACATAGAAAAATTTTTTATGTTCAGGTTGTTCGTGACCCTCGCTTTGAAACATTGTGTGGAAATCTTGATGAGGAAGGGTAGGCTTTGAAATACTCTCAGTTTTGCATTCTTTTAGTTTACTTGTCCTTAATTCCCCAAAGTTGTGATATTAGATTTCTCTTAAAGGTATTTTCGCAATGGGTAGTTCCTTTGAACATGCTAGTTGTCGTAGATATGAAACGATTGTTTTGTTAGGATCACAAAACACTTCCATTTTATGTGACTCTTGTTTTACACTTTGCAGATTTAAGAAGAGATACAAGTTTCTTTATGAAAATGATCTTCCAGCTGAAAGAGAGGCATGTTCTTGTGTTACTCGTGTTATTCGAACTCGTTCTTGACTTCCTTGCAATTTTGTGTAATATTTTCTTCCATTTAATTGCTCGTTTTCTTATAGGATCTAAAGAAGCAGATGACGAAAACCAATGACCCAAAGGTCATTGATGAACTAAGTAGTCGTATAGCTTGGATTGTAAGTGGATGCGTTATTGTTTTGTGACTTTTATCTGCTAAGAAAGTTTCTTGAATCTACATACGGAGTAATATATATATTTTAATATACTCTATTTATCATTTTGACTTCTTGCACGCCAGAATAAGCAATTGAAATCTGCTTCAACAAGAAATACAGAAAAAGAGATTCTGTCTGAACACAAGAAAAAACAGAGAGAGGCGGCAAAACAAGGGAAGCAACCATTTTATCTTAAAAAATGTATGTGATCTGAAACACTGTTTTTTTCATTCGTCACTGGCTCTAAAGCAACCATGAAAATCTATATCTAGAGAGGAATAAATGAAAATTTATGTGAACGTGATGGGAAATTTAATCTTGACTCTTATTTTGTGATATTGACAAATTCCCAACTTGATTGGCTTTTTTGCTTGCAGCGGAAATACGAAAGCTCAAAGTTAAAGAGAAATACAAGGAACTCAAGGTACCTACTCATTTTATGAACTGCTATGCTAGAGTGATGCCATTTCTTGTTTTGTAGAACTTTTGATAGTAGTTATTAAGTATATATTTTTTTAAAAACTTCGCATCAATATTTAAATAAATTGAATTAAAAATAACTTCACTCCAACACCGCAACCCGAAAGATTAAATAGGGACAGAGGGAGTAAAAGTTAAAAATATCCGAGTCTTAATCCCAAATGAAAGCAATCTTGCTTTGATTTACCAGGAATCCGGGAAGCTTGAGTCTTTTATCGAGAAGAAGAGACGAAAAAATTCTGCAAAGGACCACAGGTACATGCCATACCGGCGTTCTGAAGAATAAGGGTAACGGTGAAATGGTGAGTCTGTTTAACCTCAGTAGCCATTTTCGGAGGGTTGGTTTGAGTCGAAATGTCGAATTCTTACCTTGGATCCTTGGTTACTACTACCTTTTGTTGAGGGCTATTTATGATCTTAGAAAATCTGTGACAGTTTGTAGGGACTTGTATACCTTTTTCAAGTGTTTTTCTATTTTTTTTATTTTACTAAATGGTACTCCTTCCATCCCACCTCCAATGAGACTTGCAGAGTTAAAGGGTGTTGAACTTTTATTATGGGAAGTTTTCCTTTATAGCGCGTCTAAATTTAATTGTTCACTTACCGGTTTTAGGAAATGAATTAATGAAATTATCACACCTTTTGACGTTGGATATCAATGTCACATTATGACATTGGATCCATTTGAGCTCTTATAGTGCTCCGCTCGATTTAGAAATGGTTTCTAGGTCACACACCCCCTAGCTTGCTCCCTGCACCCCATGTCTCACACACCATTTTCAAGTCAAACAGAGCATCGTAAAAGTTTCAAATAGACCAATGTCATATTATGACATTAACAACTAATGTCAAAAGAATCTAGCCGATGTTATCAAAACCACACCAAAGAACTTATTAATTTTATTGTTAACGATGAAGAATGAACTAAGTTTAGGGAATCATCCTTTGCTCCTTTTTTTATATTATAAGAGTCAAATATGGCATAATAAAGGTTATGCAGGATCTTTTAGTAGGGAGGTAAACAAATCAAATATTTTTAATTTCATTCATGATTTGTATTTGAATATAATGATTTGAATTCGCATTATTCAAATTCAAATACTAGTTTTGATTCGAATATTAAATAAATACAAATACAAATAGGAGTTTATTTGATTCTGGTGATATTCGAATGGGACGGTTTGACTTTTTGGGAAATTAAGGGATGAATATTTTAGTATTGACTTTCCAAAAATGCCCTTGATGTGATGGGTAAAAGTAGGATGTGATGGGTAGATTACTAGGAAAAATGTATAATGTGATAGGTAGGGTATGAAAAAGTAAGGGGTAAAAGTGGTTTTTTAATAGAAATGTAGCGGACTTTACGGGACGCAGTTTTTTCTAAACGTAACAAACTTTTTGGGACGGAGGGAGTATATTTTATAAAATATAATGTGTAAAATGAAAATATATTAATGTTTTTAGATATAGTATAAAAAGTATCGTAAGTTAAAGTATTCAAAATCTATGTTGGTTCATCATATAAATTACGGAGTATAATTATTAAAATATTTGTTTATGATTCGTTAAGTATTTGAATATTAATCAAATACAAATTCAAATCTTATGTTTAATTCGTCTCATATTCGGATTCAGATTCGTATTCGAAAAAATTAAACAAAACAAACTCAAATATCTTGATATTCGCTTCGATTCGTTTACACCCCTATCTTTTAGCTCCATAATGGCGTCATTACATGCGACTCAAAGTTTACGTTATATTATAAACCTAAATAGGAAAAATATAGACAAAGTACTAAAATAAGATTTTCATATTTTTATTCTCTAAATAAGAGTTCACACTGTGGTAATGTAGCGTCGTACATGTGCATTTACTTTACTTTTTTGGTAATGTACATGGTCATGATTAATAATGTAAATGTATTTTAACTCTTATTTTGAGAAAAAAAAATATGGAACTCCTATTTTAGTACGGAGTATATTTTTAATGTTTAATTCCTACTTTAGTTTTTTTCCTTATTATAACGCTTTTTAGGTCTTATTCTTTTGAGTTAAAATTTCAGAGTTGGATGTTGGAAGAAACTAAAAGGAATTTACAAAAACTAGAAGAAGTAGGAAAAAACTGGAAGGAGTTAGAAGAAACTAGGAGTTGAAAAAACTGAAAAGAGTTTGAAAATGTTAGAAGAATTTAAGTGTTAAAAAAATAACTCAATTAAATGATCACTTGAATAAATATGTAAGAAAAGTCTAATTCTGGATATAAAAAATTCATCATTATCCGTGTTTGAGGTGATATATCATAAATTTGAATATAGGTATATTATTATTGTATAATCGTCATATACCTTTTTTTTAAGTGGTAGTTAAAAGAAACTAGAAGTTGGAAAAAGTAAAAAATTAAATTTTTTAATCCAAAAGAACAGGGCCTGTGTAAACATTTTTAATTTGGCAACAAAATGCCTTTTTATATGTCTAATTATGAAATCTATACCCATTGCATAAATTATTTCTAAATTTACAATACTTGTACTATTAAAATTGCCTTTTTCGGAGAGGGAACATTAATAGAGGCATAGAGATGGAGTGCCACTTTTAATGAGAGTATTAGGTTTAGAAACAAAATGATTACAATCTTTACAAATTTACAATTTGTGATTTAAAGTCGTTTTAAAAATTATTTAAGACTTTTATTGCTTTATCAAATTTCACAAATGAGAAGTTTGTAACTATTTTATTTGTAAACCTATCATTTCTCTTTTAAAATCTCCTAACCCCCGGTAAATCCATCTACCCTGACTTGACCCGAACTTACCCCTTGCCCCGTTAATTACACCTCACAAGATATAAGTTAACTTTGGAGTCAAATTTTAACTCCAAAGTCAACAACATCCTGTGGGGTGCAATTGACGGGGGAGGGGAGTGTGTTCGGGTTGGATCGGGGTGGGAGGGGGGGTTAGAGAGGGTTAGGGGGGTATGAACTTAGGGACCCTGAGTCATTCCGTTACATTGATTTCCAATGTCATGGGAATCGTAGTGTAAAATAAATGGGTTCGACTTCTTTGGCTTCTCCAGATAAATGTCAAGTTATGAAATTGTTTTAAAAATAAAAAAAATACAAAAAGATATCAAAACATATTTTGAAACATCTTACATCTAATTGTTTTTTCAAAAAATTAAAAAAATAAATATGATTTTTAAAAAACCAATCTCAAAATATCAACCGGATTCTCTATAAATTTGGAGTAGCAATATGCACATCATTAACGAAATATGAAATCAGGCTTCCCACTTGTTATTTTTAACCGGCCGATTCTTTTGATATCATAATACCACATTTGCTCATTTGAAAGCCATATGAGACTACATTTGATTCCGAAGTGATTCTTACCCCCCTAACTCTTCCTGTAAACGCCTAGCTCATCCCATGCACCCCATCCCCCAGGCCAATTCGAATGCGAAAATGATAGGGGAGCCCAAGCGTTTAACATCAAATGCACACCAAGGCTAACACGGACACACACAAATACTTAATATATGTGTGCGCACAAACATTAAATGCCTGTGTGTCTGTATTAGCCATGGTGTGTATTTGGTGTCAAAATGTTGGGATGCCCCTAGCACTCCTCATTTGGATGCCAATTTACTGTAACATTTTGAGAGTGAATTGCCGTCAAAGGAAGCGAGTTGGGATGCAGGAGGCGAGTTAGGACTTAGGAGTGAAGATTTATCGACAGTTAGGAGGGGTAAGAATCAATTGGAGATCAAACAAAGTATTGTTCGATTTGAGGGGCAAGAACCCTCAAATACACTCAATGTCATTATAACATCCATAACCAATGTCAAAAAAACTGAAGTGTGTTTTTAGAACACTCGTTCCAATGGCCACTTCTCCTCCGAAACCCGTTACAATTTGTCAAGACATGGGACGTACAACTTCTTCTAACAATAGACAAATCCAGATAAAAGGGAGTGCTCAAATTTCACAGGCCGAATCCAAATACTACAAATCAAATCTAAAAATAAAGCAGCAAGACGCAAAATGCGCAAAAAAAACTGCAATTCGCCATTCCGAAGACACTGTGGAGGACTTACAGAGAGTGCAATACCTTTTTCTTTTGTCAATCCTCTTCAAGATTGATGGAATCTTTGAACTTGGCATACAAAATCTTTTTCAGCTCAGTCATCTTAGCAGCCACAGCCGCTTTCTCTTTCAGTAGTTTCTCCAGTTTCTTGCCAGTTTCCTCTTTCATGTCCTCTATCTTGCTCTCTACGTCTTCCCTTGGCACGTGTGCAAAAACCTCTCCTATCAAGAAGCGCACTACCTCCTCATCTGAGAGAATTAACTCGTTGCCCGCATCTTCAAGATTCTCAGTTGTTTCCTGCCATTAATTGTGACCATAGAGTCAGACCACCCTAAACACACCACCACCACCACCACCACCAATAAACCCAGTAAAATCCCACAAAAAGTAGGTCTCGGGATGGTGACAATAACCTAGTAGAACATTATTGACATGATAAAAAATGCAGTGTATATTTCTTGAGAAATAAATTGAAGATCATTGATCTCTCTAGGTATGGGTGAGAGAATCAGAGTCAAGGGCAGACCAATGTTGTGAAAGGCAAAAGGCACATTAAGGTGCTCTTTCAAGAGCACGAGTCTTGAGTTTAGGGCAGAGAAGGGGTCTCAATGCTTTTTTCCCATGCTAAATATCCAATTCAAGTCATACCAGAGCTAAGAGGACAGAATATAGTACCTTGTCGGACTGTGCCGAAGGTTCTTTAGTAGTGATTACAGAACACAAACAGAGGATGAACAATATTGTTGTGTACGTGTACTCGCACAGGCGATCCCAAAGAGCCTGGTATTATAAATCTTGTGTGTTCTCGGGTACCCAAAAATAAGAAAATTGAACATAGCTAAATACAACAACCCAATTGAATTCCACAAGAGTAGGGTCTGGGAAGGGTGTGTGTACGCAGACCTTACCCTACAGGAAAGTTTTCCAAAGAGACCCCCGGCTCAGCGTCGAAAGTTTCATCGATCGACTAACTGCTACAGAGTATTACATTAATAGAAATAGTGCAGACAGTGTTTTATTCCATCACACCCTAGAGCCAAAAGATAGAGGATTTTTGGCTTCACAGGAGATGGTGGAAAACTATAATGAAAACATAGCATAATGAAAACTATAAATAATATAGAGTACGATGAAAACAGGATGTGAAGAGCAAAACAACAACCCCTACCAAGCTTTAATCCAAAAATTCACAATATGGTTAATTATAAGCCATGGAATTGCTGGTTTGAAATCTTGAAGAATCATTTAGACAGTTCGAGGTTAACATTATACGGGTTATTAATTTAAAAAAAAACAATGCTCCCTCCTTTTGGATTTAGTTGTCCACTTTCAATAAAAAAAAAATTTTTAAAAATGAGTTTAAAATGTCAGATAAATTTGTTGATCATTCATGTCAATAATACTCATACTCTATTTCTAGGATATTTTAGACAAATCACCATAATTTCTTTATTGAATTCTGAAAGTAGACAACTAATTCCGGACAAACAAAAACAAGAAAGTGGACAACTAAATCTCGACTGAGGGGTAATATGTTTTTGAGTACAGAAAAGAACTATTTTTAGACATTGTTTTCTTCATGTTCAATCCATTAATGCTATATAGATGCCTAACCATTTAAATTTCCTAGTGCTATATGTTATTCCCCTTGTTTATTATAAGTAAATTGTCATTAGTAGCAATTAGAACACACATCAAAGGAATGTTATGCATTTACAGTGCAAGAGTTAGACAGCACATAGCTATAATGAGAATTCAGGAGCTGATAGAGAACACTGCCTGTGCCAACAATTGGAATTGCTTGATTAGGGCTTTCGAAACAAGTCGGGCATGCGTTAGAAAAAGTAATTAGGGCTTCGACCGGAAACTTGAATTCTAGCAAAAGATGCACTTTGCATCAAGATTTTGACACTTCAGCAGATACGTGATAGATACTCCGTATAAGATTTGTCTTTACTTTTTTCATTAATTGATACGGAGTATTAAAATTCCTGCCGATCAATCGATAACCCCTACCGAGAAAAAAAAAGGAGTGACTCGTAAACTAAATCACAGAACACATAAAATCATTACCTTAGCAACTTTGATTTCATCTTCTAGCTCATGGAAACGATTGTTCAGTCTGCTGAATTCGTTGATATTCTGTTGATCTTTCCAGTTCACTTCTACCTCCGAACTTGAAGCTCCGGCCTTTGTATCCATTTATTTCTTCCTCTCAAAAGCAAGGACACGCCAAATCTGGGAAGAAATAAACACTCAAGACGCAGAAACACTTGGACACTCCACACGCCTCGGCTATCTAACTAGGGGGGGAAACCAGGAAAGTGGCTTCTGGAAAAAATGGGTTATGTTCCAGAAATCATTTTCCTTTTCTTGTGTTTGGCTGAAAGTCTGAAAATAGGCTACTTCTGTCTGGTTCATTTTCCGGCAAAATAAATATCTTGAGCAAAGAACTAGAAAATGAAAATGCCTAACCTAAGAGGACCATAGCAAAATTTGCAGGCGCAGAAAAGAACTCAGAGAACAACCACATACCCACACCTCATTCAAAGTAAAATATTCAATTTCAAGATCAATGGAAGAAAAACAAAAGAAATTCATAAAGAATTCAAAATTTCTTTTTTTTAAAAAAAAAAACCTTATATTCTACAGATCGTGATTATGAAATGGACAACAAATACAAATTATAAGATTATTGAAATAAAATTCTTAATTTCTGAAATAAAATCAACAAAAACAAATCTGTAATAGAAAGTTTAGGTTAAAAATCAAGAATACGAAAGAGAAAAGAGAGAAGAAGCCAAAGGAGGAGAGAGAATAGAGGAGCTGTATATACCTGGAGAGAAGAGGTGAGAGGTCGAACGAAGAAGAAGGAGGCGGTGTTAAAGCTTTTGGTTGAGGTCAAGGAGTCCCAAACACACCCCCACGAGTTTTAAAAAATTTAAGATTTAGAGTGGATACACCTGAGGCACTGTTAGAGTATATAACAATCGTACACAACTACAAGTTTGAGCTTTTTGGTTGAATTGATTACTTAACAGGCGGATGAAAGAGATCTCAGATGAAGTTGGAGCGAAGAAGATCGTATAAATTAAAAATTAACTTTTAAATTTATGGAACATTATATATCCAAATTTATAGTAATATATTACCTTTAATTTCTTGTAACAACGATTTAAAAGAGTTATTTATATATAATTAATTTAGAATAATAGTAAATATCTGAATTTATAACATATGTGCTCAAACACGACAAGGATTAATATTTTTAATCCAAAATTAGAGTTTTTAAATATACGGAGTATTTATTTGGGTGATCACTGAATTGAGTTTTTAAACATATTCCCATTTATCACTTACCACTAATTGGCATAACATTTAAATAAAAATGGAAAAATATTCCCCTTTATACTTTACTGTTTCATTGTTATTAAAAAACATATTGATGTTTTTTAAATAAAAATAGAAACATTTTTAATGCTCATATGAAATTCCCTAGTACCATTAATTATTAATTAATTACTACGTATTAGTTAATACTTCTACGACATTTCCAATTTTTAATGCTCATACAAAGTTTCCCTTAACATATTCCCTTTACCACTAATTACAGAGTATTACTCAACGCTTACTAAATTTAATTGTTTCACACACATATAATGATTAAAACGCACGACATTTCCATATATTACTCTTACGTATTGGCGGGAAAAAATTCATCTTTCTTTAAATATAGTATAGATTATATTTTTCACATCACAAAATATTTGTCCAATTTAATTTTTTGGGAAGTTTTTCTGTGTTAGTGTTCATTAGTTTACTCATGATAAATAATTTTAACTTATAAGTTGCTTATAAGTTAAATATTCTTTTGTGAAATTAAAATAATTTAAATGATAGATATAAATAAGACATTTTCATAAATGACCAAAAACAATTTTGTAAAAATTCTAACAAAAAAAGTTTCAAAAAATGGCTTAAAATAAGAAATAAGACCTATTTATATTTTCTAATTTATAAATCAATTTATAAGTACAGAGAAACATGTTATCAACTTACTTATAAATTAAAACCAACTTCTAAACAATTTTGACCAAATTATAACCACAGAGATGCATCCACTTTATAACCAAATTGAACAAATTTTGACTATCAATCAATTAAAATTTTTAATGTATCCTGAATATGCTCTGAAATTTACTTGTTTATGTCTAAAGATATAAAAGGTCAAAGATTTTATCCAAAAAAAAGATTTTATTCCAAAAAAGTTACTATGAAATTCTAACAAAACTTTACTAGAAAGATATGTACGTTAATAACTTTCAATACCACGGTAGATTTTGTAAGAAATAACATTGATCAACAAAACATGGATGTAAGATTAGTCTCACACATACACATAGTTTCATGCACAAAATTAGTTAAATGTAAGATTGGCATTCTAAAATTTGATGATAACTAATAGCTGCAATCTAGTCTGCATACATTACAGGGGAAACAAAAACGAAACAAAAGCAGACGGACGAAAGCCGGTTAAAGATACATAAACCTACCATAAACAAAACGACTAGTGATAATAGCATTGAACGCGCAATCTGTTCTACGAGTCAATTACACACTTGGGATGATAAAAAAAATTAATCCCGTGCTTTTGCAACATCACCTTTTCCACTCTGCTCGAATCGCCTTATCTGAGGTAAAAAGATAAGAAACCAATAACATACATTATATTTCCTTGTAGATATGACGAAATGTGTGCCATTGCGTGGAAGAACATAGTTGGTATCGAACTAAACCATATGTTTTGTTAGGTTTGAGTTGAAGATGATAATGATGATGATGATGATGATGATGATGGCAATGTCGACTATTTGCAAGAATAACGTGCCTAGAAGGGCATTACGTGTAAATCTTTGCCAATACGGCAATACTATTTGCATAAAGTTGAGTAATCTAAGCTCTAAAATCTACTCTGTTTTTAGCACTATGAATTTCATGTTACTGACTCCAACTACTTGGGATTACTTAAGGTCCTAATAATAATAACAATATTATTATTAGGACCTTAAGTAATCCCAAGTAGTTGGAGTCAGTAAAATGAAAATGATGATAGAAAATGATGATTTAATGAACCAACTTTACTATTACAAACCGTAGCAAACTGAGGTAGAGGCATGCAAATTTTAACAAAAAAAAAGTGGAATTGTGTGGTTGATAATGATGTTGAAAAGTAACAAAAATGGATGAATGAATGTGAGACATAAAAATTACCAAAGTTTTGTATGAAAAAATAGAGCGGTTAAAAAAGGTTTAAAAAAAGGGGCCATGGAGAATAAAAAACATGCACCGGCTTCCTGCAAATAGGGTATCTAGATGCATTTACGCACGAAGTAGAAATATCCATTTTCATATAGGAGTTATATAAAAACTCACCAGAACCATCCCTAGATGTTGACAAAGATCTATCAATTTTAATTCCTTCTTTGCCACTTGCTTGGGCCACCAGTTTCTGCACTCGTGGAGAGGAACTCATCTTTCCAGTAGTTAGAGATGGCATAGAATAACGTCTAGTCACGGCAATGCTCTCCAATGCTTCTTGCCCATACCTGGGAGAGGCCTGCTCCCTCACCTTAGCCCTAGCAGACTGGGTAGGAGCCATGTAGCTGGGTAACTTTCTTTGGGTGGGTGGAGTACCTCCATGCCCTCCATCCATATCATACTTTAATGGCAACAAAGCTCTTCTCTTCTGCTTAATCTTGCTACTCCCATTTTCGTTCTTCTTGCCATTGCAAATTAGTACTTCATCTGGCGTTGTTGAAATATCCTCATGACTTGTTTCAGCAATTGGGTTGGGTGATATTTTTGAAACAGGAGTGTCATTCAACTCTGTAACCAATGCTTGATCTGATAGCTTTTCTGGAAGTTTTTCTACATCATCATGTTTTGCGGATTCATTCGTTGAACAGTTCATACCAATTTGTGACTGAAGAGAGTTTAAATCAGCAGGAACACTAGGGGCTGTCACCGTTGATACCCCTTCCAGAAAAAGAGTTTCTGCACCAGAAGGTTTCTCCAGTTCATGACATGAATTATTGTCAGTGCTTGACTGCTTTCTCAGATTATTTTCGGTTGATCTGTCAGTGTTTGGCTCCGACCGAGCAGATTTTTCCATTATAGGCTTGGAGATCTTCTTCAGATTAAGTCTAATCTTCTCAATTTCATTTCCTTGGTGCTCAGAAATAGATTTTGCTGAATGATGATGTGGCATTTTCTTTGGGCTGTTCTTATCCTTCCCAGTGTCCAAAATAAGATTATTTGATCCCTTCCTTATCTTGGGTTTTTTATTCGAGCCAGAAGTATCTTTAGGCTGAGATTCTGGAATCCAAATTTTCGCTATTGTCCATCGCATTAACCATTCATGGGAAGAGTTAGGCTCCCCAGGACCATATTGAAGCTGTAGAGGCATCGAACTGGGGGACGAACGAAGTAGCTGAAATGGGAACAAAAACTATCAGCCTCTTCAAATCAAATAAAAGGAAGTACTCGCTATCTGATACTCCCTCGGTCACATAAAAAAGCTCACTTTGACGAGTGTACAACTTTTAAATTTAATCAGGTACAACTTCAAAAGCACCTAACATACCAATATTCATAAACACTTTGATATAAAAAGGATTGCTTATGGAACAAAAAACAAAAATTGAGAAATATGATTCTTTTATGGGACGGAGATAGTAATTCTCTGTTCTACTTTTTATATTAGCTCACATCCATTACTATCTATAAGTTGAACAACAATCACACAATTCCACTTCTCTTGATTTTCATGCAACTAACCCATTTCCAAAAAGTAGTGGGACAGAGTGATTTACAATATTCAACATCAAGAACATTGAAAACTGTATTTTTACAGGTCATATATTCATGAACAATTTTTAAAACCGTTGCCCTGCATGTACGCCTAACTTTTACATCGCAACATTATGCGGTGCATAAAACATAAAAGGTAGAGAGTATGTTTCGCAGAAAAGATAATCAGGTGAAGAAAGCATAAAAAAGGTTAGAACAATCACATATTGAAAGATGAACAGTAGGGGTAAGGACTGTTGAGTACGCTGATATACCTTTTTAGTGAAAGCATTTTTCAGTAGCTCCTCAGCTGGAACAGATGCATTAGTTTTGGAATAATCTGGTGTCTTAATCACAGCAAAGTGGAAAAGGCACAAACAGAAACACAAATGGTGTCATTCATATTAGAAATCAATACCACATCAGATAGGCTAGGCAAGACCAAAGAGTAAACCATCCAATTTTCTTATATTTTCTCCGTTCTTAACTAAATGAAACAGAGGAGGATTTTGTACTTTTCACTCACTCACATTTGATTATCTTTTGTTATTTATGCATAAAGAAAAATATAGTCATGTGGGATCTTGTTATATTCTTCTTGATATAAACTTTCGTAATATCAACTGTTTATAATTTTACTAAAACATAATTGAAGACATTAATAATTTACTTTATGCATTGGAAAATGTGAAAATCATGATGTTGCATTTATTTAAGAACACGAGAAGTAATAGAAGAGACGATCTTAAGTAGGGCTTAAAGTTAGAACCATGGGGAAAAGGAAAGTTGAACCCATGAAAAGAGAACTTGTTGTTCTTGGGATGTGCTTGCATTAACAGGTTTTTATAGTACACGCTAGATACACAATGTAAAACCACTCAGTTGGATAAAGCTGACCCAAAGTCAATCCTAGGTTACCTGATTTCCCAATACTTGCTTCTGGAGCATTTCGCTTTTGACCTTAGATTGCCTAACTATTTGACCCCTTGCGAGTGCTTGAATCTTAATAACACCCCGAAGACAATATAAGGTAGCAACAGCTTGTCTTCTGACCAAATGTCCACGGATCGCTGCTTGAAGTTTTATTACGCCCTTGAGCGTCTGAAATGCTTGCCGAGCCTTCAAAAAAGAAATTAGACATTTAGGATAAAGGCACCAAATGATCTTTAACATTTGACTTTAAATGAAATACTACGTATCAAGCATAGATTATAGTAGATGGTGAAGTTGATAGAGGATGAAATGCTAGTAAAACAATAACTACATATATTGCAATGACAAGGTTGGTTCAGTTACTTAACACAATGATTTCTCTCATTTCCCTTACCAAAATGTAAGGAACCATCTTTTCCCTCTTCTTAGCTTATTTTTGCTTATTGTTTTCTTTCCCTTGCACTTTTCTTTTCTTTAACTCTCTAACCAAACATGAAAAAGTGTTTTGCATATTTTTTCCCCTCCCATATTCCTTGAACCAAACATAGTTTAAGTGATTGAAACAAACTATCCTCGTCGAGCAGTCCAACTAACCAATGATGTATATTCTAAAAACATTCTCACAACAATAAAAGCATTGAAAGAGGACTTACCAGATAACCCCTGTAAGCAGCTTGTGCTTTTGTTGCAGCTTGCTCAAGCCTATGCTTCTGAAGATCTCCAGGGAGATCAACAGTAGATTCACTTGCACTGCCTGCAATATCATTTTGCTTCATAGAAGGATTAACCACCTCATCACTGACTAACTTTTCAGCTTCTCCTTTTTCAGAATTGGAATTCTCTTTAGATTGTATAGCACTAGCAGGAAGAGTCTCCGGAACCAAAGACAGGAGGTCCATTGACAAGTTGGATGCTGTTTCCTTTGAAGAAACTAATGGTCCTTTGTTCTTTGCGGATTTCTATTAGCAACAATGAGAATATAAAGAACCACAAATCAAAATCTTTAAAAACCCAAAGACGCCAGCAAAATATAGATAATATGTTTGCATGCTACCTATCTATAATCTATTATGAGAAAAACATTTTAGTGAGGAGTGGTTTAGCAACAAATTACTTTATCAGGGAAGACATTTGTGCAGACTATTTGCTTATATACTTTGTGTCATTTTAGTAAGACACCACCATCAATCATTATGAACTTGAGCAGAACTCATAGCTAATTGTGTGAGCAGGCGGATGTGGCGGAGCTAATGGTCAATTGGTTGTGAAGAGAGAAAGAAGGTAATGACAGTGAAAGATGAAGACCCCTATTAAGGCAATTATCATCTTTTAATTGTTTTTAAATTTTAAACAAATTCAGAAGAGACATTGTATAGTCCTACATGTGTTCCTACTTCCTACACTTTGGTCACTTAGGTGGTTAGTTAACAAGCAATAAGTACACTTATATAGCTACACTGATCTTAGTGGATATAACCCCAATACTGCATAGTCCCATACTCTGATACCAATATGTTTTGGCATCACAGCTTTCAAGACCGTCTCTTGTTGAATTAATTTTAACAATACACATTTCCAATTTAAGCAGAGAACACTTATTGAACGCAGAAAATATGCTGCTGTTTGTCAAACAGATTAATGGAATTATGTGTGTGTGTGTGTGCGTGTGCGTGTGTGTGTGTGTGTTAAATAAAGTAAAAACGGATCAAACATTTTCTATTGGCAAAAAATGGGCCAAATAACTGTCCCAAAAAGGGGGTTAAGCAACCCTAGAAAACTAATAACATGAAACACTTTCTTTAATTTAAAAAAAGGGATATAATTAAAATTTAGAAAAAGAAATAAATATGAACCTTTTTTGGGATAAGAATAAGTCTCCCATGAAGAATTGCTTTTTTTAATGACGGAATGAGTATAACATTGGGCCCTCCAAGCCATTGAGTAAGCATGAAGCAAGAAGAAATCAGTCTAACATTTACATATTCTCCCTCTCTGGCTCTCTCCCAAAAAAACAATTTGTTGGAAAGAATTTTTTTATGGGCAGAAGATTAAACTTAGTAGAACAACAAGCCAACAAAATTTTAAAAAAAATAGTTATACTTATTCAAATGAAAACCATGTTAAGTAGAACTCTTTATTTTTGGGATAATAACTAGAGGCAGCCATTTCTCACCTTTGAAATGCCAGATTTGGCACCTTTCTTCCCCAGAAGAACAGATCTGAACCATTTCGCGGGAGATTTCCCCATCCTTTGACGAACCCCAGAACACAATTACTGCAACCCAGTTCCTGTAATACATCATATAAAGGCATAAACACATCTCCCTCTACAATAAAACCCATTCCCCCCCCCAACAAAAGAAAGAAAAAGATCACACCTTTTTCAGTATCTTTTAAATATTCAAAGAAAAGGAAAGAAGAAGAAGAAGAAGAAGGAATTACAGTGTGAAAAGAGAGATTTACAGAGGAATTGCGAGCTCGGCATTCTCACGTTCTCTCTCTAAAATCTTTCGCTTTCTCTCTCTAAACTCGGTTTCTCTGAGCTGAGAATCCAAAGCACCTGAGGGGGTGAGGGAGTGAGCTCTCTGGCGGTGATATGGGGGAGAGGGAATAAACGGCGCCGTTTGGGCTGTGTCCTCATCTCTTTGATTGTGGGTCCCGCCGCCGAGTGGAGTTTTGTTTTGGTGACGTGGGAATATGGAACGTTTGTGCGGTTAGAACGTCGCTTTAAGCTCCCTCCCTCAATTCTGTGCAATCCTAATTTACAAACAAACAAAAAAAGATTATGGAAGCTATGTTTGGGTAATGATAAAAAAGTCATCCCAAATTATTTCACATTAACCTCATATTTTCTTCATCGGATTTGAATGGTTTAATTTGATTAAAATAATTTTAAATTTGATTAGAGTGAAGTTATATGTAAAATTATTTCTGACCTAATCGGATTTGATTCCAAAAAAAAAATTAATAAATAATAATAATAATAATAATAAGTTGAAAAGAATATGACCTTAGTGTTTGGATCTTATTCTTCCGCTTAAAAGATTGAGATTATAAAATTGGATAAACAATACACTAATTGGTATAAAAACTATTCAAAAAAATTATTTGAAATTATTATATTATTTTGAAGAGTTCACAAATGACATACAGAGTATTTTTATATACTTTTTCTTAAAGAAATCTGCGAAATCTACCCTAATTAAAGTAAAACATAACTATTATCTCCAAAATAGGAGTACTGCCACCGCCACCACGTCTCTCTTTTCTGGTCGCGTTCTGAGAGTCTAAGATGATAGAACTTTTACCATTATTTTTTACTCTCTCTTTGTCAAGAAAATAATTCGCTAACAAAATGAATGTCAATAATTGCATTGTCACAAAATCAGATAAAAACCTATATCAACATTAGTTACGCCTGAAAACATTACAACAATGGAAACGCTGGTGCAACGCCACTAAGGATGTAAAATGTAACTATTGTCTCCAAAATAGGTGTTCTGCGGCCTCTCTTACACATCTACGATTCTCTCTCTCTCCAAATATTTGCGGTGAAGACCTCCCAAGATCTATGATGAAGCTCTCGAAAGATTGGTGAACTTCTCTCACCACCTTATCGCAACACTGCCGCTGTCACCAACACGCCTTTCTTTTCTGATTGCATATCTAAGAGTCTAAGATATTGAATTTTTAGCAATATTTTTTTACTCTGTATATTTAATTCTTGGTAGTGCGATAGGGAACTTGGCGGCAAAACACATCATTTTGGGAGTTACACATTAGTAGGGCCAATAGCGCCGGTACCCCTCGTGATTTGCAAAAGAAGCACCAATACCCCCTCTGTTTTCAAAACTCATTTTTAAAGTCTCTGTGGTTTCAAAATGCTGCACTCGTGCCCCCTCTGATCATTTTCCGGCCATTTTTCTGGCGAGGAGGGGGGTATTGGTGCATGTTTTTTAAACCATAGGGGGTATCAGTGTTGATTTTTATTTCTTGCATATTTTTTGTTTTTTCCATTTTTTCCCATTTTTTCCTTTTTTATTTCATTTATTAATAAAGATTTTTTTATAATGTTTCTTAAAATTTAAAGTTACTTTTGTTAGAAAAAATTAAGATAGAATGCATATGTATGTCTCAAATTAACAATTTTTTTTTCTGAAAAAAAGTAATTTTTTTTGAGACTTCAAGAAATGAGGAATAAAATAAGAAACAAAATAATACAAAAATAAAAATGAATATCCTTTTTGGACATTTTAATTCTAAGTACTTTTTCAGGCGTGTCTAATTTTTTTTGTATAAGACTTCTTTTGCATATTTTAATTTTTTTCATTTCATTTTTCCATATTTTTATTTTTTTATTCTGGGTTTTTTTTGAACTTTTAAAAAAATTATTCTAAGTAAGAGAAGGTGAAAATGTTTAATTTGATATAGATTTAATGTATGTTAATTTTTTTATTTTTATTTTTATTTCAAACACAAATTTTAAAATTTTTGAAACATTATAAAAAATTGAAAAACTATATTTTTAAAAAAATCTAGGAAAAGGAAAAAGAGATAGGAGATATTTTAAAAAAGGGAAGAATAATAAACAAAAATAAGAAATGAGCATGAATGCCCCCCGTGGTTTAGAAATTATGCGTCAATGCCCCCTCTTCGCTGGAAAATGGCCGGAAAATGATCGGAGAGATTGTGGGTGCAACGTTTTGAAACCACGAGGATTTTAGAAATAAGTTTTGAAAACAGAGGGGGTATTGGTGCCAATTTTCCAAACCACATGGGACATGGAAGCTATTTGGCCCACATTAGTAACATATTTGATATTACAGAGTGACATGCTTGTCACAAGGTAGTTATGAGCTTGTTTTCCTTAACTTATTGTAATTACTTATTACATTTGTTTCCGAGTATTTGTCCAGTTTTTTGGTCTACTGTTTTCAACCTTTGACTTATAATTAAATAAAATATATATTGTATATATTAATTAGATAAAATTATATTTTGAAAATATTTGATATAATAAATCTAATAAAACTATTTTTGTATCAATATCTAATATCATTTTTATTTAATTCGAAGTCAAAGTTTATCAATTTTGATCGAAAAAATTAAAAGTGGACAAATACTTAGGGTCGGAGAAAATATTACGTATTCTCAATGGAATCAGATCAGACTAAATCAGACCAGATCAGAAACAAGCCTTTAAATATAACTACAATCAAGAAATAACAAATCAAAACTTATTCCAATCAGGTCAGAGTCAATCAGATCAGTGGAGAGAACATACCTTGTGTATTGTCATCTTTGGCATTGCAACTTCAATAGGCATTCTTTTGATAGTTTTTTGCTTAGCAGTCACTATGGCACCATGGCCTTGCCACAACGGCCCTAGTAGACCATGTGTCGGTAGCGGCGACAACGATAAATAGGCTTGAAGCCATAGATCGTGGCGGTGAATGAGATTGAATTCAAATGCAGGGGCAACATATTATGGTTGGATTTGACCGTTGACAATGACAATATATCATGTTTATACTTAGCACAAAATTTTTGCACATATGATATACAAACTTCATTCTCTATTTATCAACTTAGATTAAAACTTCACTTATGGTATGTTTGGGAACGTGGATTTGGATTTCAAATCCGGATTTGGCTCAAAGTCCATGTTTGGGAAACTTACAAATTTTGAATTTGAATTTGAATCAAATTCTTCTCATTCATAACAAAGCTTAATTTTAAATTCATGTCCCTCCCCTTGTCATTTGAAATTCTAGATTTCAAATTTTGGAATTGAAATACATGAATTGAAATAAAATCCTAGTTGCCAAACACTACCTTATATTCTTTGTGATAAGTGTCCGGCTGAGATTGGAGAGAACTTTGAGATGGAGTTCTTCCATTTTTGCGTGTAATATTTATTATCTTAATTTTTACCTATCAAAAGATTTTACTGTTACACTTTTTCCACATTGTTTTTCACACACAGACCGAAGAGAATGAATTAAATTAGAGAAATAATGATCATATATCATTGCTTTTTTACTCATTAGACACAAATATATTGAGATAATTAAAAAAAGGAAAAATGAATAAACACATTAGGATAAAGAGAGAAAATAAATGAATATATTAAAAAGTAAAAAAATTATAATTATAATTTCTTTTAGTGAGATAAAAAATTTATGAGCTCCATATCCACTACTCAGTCCTAAAAAAGAAAAGGTTAAAAAGTGATTTAATTTTTCTACAAGACTAATATACTCTCCATTCTAAAATATTCATCTAATTTGATTTTTTCAAATAAAATTGTATGAATGATAATTATTAATTACATTAAATTTGTACTACATTTTTGCAAATTAATGTAATAAAATAAATTTTTTATCCTTTTTTACAAGATGACTCTAGTGAAATCATATTTTTTGTACTAATATCAAATATAGTAAATATTTAATTAATATCGATTATATTTGTACTAATGTAGTAAATTATATGTGTGCTAATATGGAATATGTAATCATTTAGTTAATGATTAACATTTACTCCCTCCGTCCCGGAAAACATGAGAGTTTTGGTTTTGGAGAGAGATGTAAGGGAAGTGTATTTTGGTATTGAATTTCCAAAAATGTCCTTTGATGTGATGGATAAAAGTATGATTTGATGGATAGATTATTACGGAGTAGTAAAAAAGTATAATGTGATAGGTAGAGTATAAAAAAGTAAGGGGTAAAAGTGACTTTTTAATAGAAATGAGAAGTGTTTTTTGGGACAGTTGAAAAAAGAAAGGAGAAAAGTTTTCAAGGGAGTATATAATTTAAATTTAAAAAGTCAAACTCAATATAGATTGTTGTCCTTTTCTCGATGTGTAATGCCTATGCTCCCTATGATCTCCCTCCCACATTCCATGTGCAACTTTGACCTTGATAAGAGGAGTCCTCTTATCTCATTAATATTGATTACTCCCTCCGTCCCGCTATATTCGTCCACTTTTGACTTTTGGAACTGTTCATCTAAGCACTTTGACTCATCAAATTCTTTCAATGTGTAAGCCTAAATATAGTCATGCGTGATCTAGTTTGATTTGTCTTAACATATAGATTATTAATATATAATTTCTATAATTTTTTAATATACAAATTACAAGATAAAATGGATTAAAGAAGTGTATTGGATGGTGTGCAAAAATGAAAGTGGACAAATATAGTGGGACGGAGGAAGTAATTTATTTTGGCTAAAATCCACCATTGGTCCTTCAACTTTATATGTTGTGCACGATTGGTCCTTCAAGTTTCAAAAGTCCATAAATAGTCCTTCAACTTTATGAGTTCAGCACCATTGGTCCTTCAAGTTTCAAAAGTCCATAAGCAGTCTTCAGGTACACGTCAGACCTCCAAATGAAGTCCTTTTGAAAGTAAATATTAAAAGTTAAACGAAATACTAGTTTCATATAATACGAGTAAATTCTACTAGGTACGACTACTCTGTATTATATGGAGCTAGTATTCCATTTAGCTTTTAACATTTATTGTCAAAAGGACCTCATCTGGAGGGCTGACGTGTACTTGAAGGACTATTTTTGCACTTTTAAAACTTGAAGGACCAATCGTGCATAACTCATAAAGTTGAAGGACTATTTATGAACTTTTAAAACTTGAAAGACTAATCGTGCACAATTGAT